ATGAGACCAGAGAGAGTGCTCGGGTTAAGTGCATGATTTGCTTGTGGAAGATCCAAGTTTGATCCCCTGCACCACATGGTCTGCTGAGCACAGCTAAAAGTGATCCTCTAGCACCAGAGACAGGAGTAGCCTACTATAGTAGTAGTACTGCCGGGCATACCCTTTCCTATGAAAACATTATCCAGGGGGTCAGGGGTAAGGAAAAAGGGGTCAGAAAGGGAAGAAAATTGAGGGACTTTGCTTCTCAATTGAGCTGGAGAGATAGTCCGTGCCTTGCACACAGCTGACCCTGGTTTGATCCACACCACTATACATGGTCCTTTGAGCACTGCCAGGAGTGATCTTTGAGCTCAGAGCCAAGAGTATAACCTAGACACTGCTGGGTGTGGTCCTCTTCCCCCAATCCTTTCTCCAAAATGAAGCCTTGATATAGAAGGGGAGGGAAGGATAACCAGGAATATAAAAACTTGTTTGGGTCCAGCTAGACCAATTAACTATGAAAAAATGGGCAAATCCAATAAACTCTCTGGATTCTTGATTTCAGTTATGCTGTTCTGTTAAATTTACAAGCATAAATCAAATAAGGTAGCCTGCCAAGCACTGATGATCCTAAGAACAGGACACGGTTAGCCATAGAGGAACTTCCTGCCATTAAGAAGAGTCTTTCTAGAGCAGAGGGATGCATATCATAGTGCTTACTGTGGCCAAGCAGAAAGTGAGTAACCAGGGGTTGTTGATATTTAAATAACTAGATGATATCAGTTGAATATCAGTTTTTCTTTCATTCTTTTACTTTTTATTTTTTAAAAAAGACTCCACACAGATAGATGAAATCATCCACTATTTATTTTTCTCCTTCTTCTGATTTACTTTACTTCACATATCACATTTTGCTGCAATGGCAAAATGCTTCTTTTTTCTTTGCCAAATAGTATTCCACATTGTTCTTTACTCAATCATTTATTTTGGTTTATGTTTGGGGGAATATTCAGCCGTGCTTGTTGGTTATTCCTGGTTCAGTGTTTAGAGTTTCTTCCAGGAGTTTATGGGGACCATGCAGTGCTAGGGATTAAGTCCAGGACTCCTGCATGCAAAGAATCTTTTTAACCTCTTGAACTATCTCTCCAGCTTCCAATTATCCCTCATCATTTTTTATATCTTAGCTATAATAAAGATACTATAATAAGCATTCAGTAGGTAACTTTTCAAGTTAATGATTCCACAATTAAACGTATTATTTTACAATTTTAAAAATGAAAGAAAAATCAGTTTAAAGTACTTTAATGGCAATGGGAGCCACTGCAATGTAAGATGTTTGAAAATTGTTTTGGCAATTTAGAGGATGAAATTTCCTGTGAACTATCAAATTATTAGCTGATTCCTCACTTCAAAGGAGGAATTTGTCATTTTTTAAGACTAAGTAGCACTTTCTTTATGCAAGGGATAATTTTAAGTGCTTTCATCAGCATTACATCATCAGGTGGTTATTATTATTATTTCCACATTGTGGCAAAAGAAAAGCAAGCACACACAGATTAAGTTACTTACCAAGATAGCACAGCCAGACAGCTCTATAACTGAGATTCAAACCCAGGATGTCTCACTCCAGAGAATTTATGTCTTTACCACAATGTTTTTCTTTTTCTGTCTTTTTAAGTCTTTACAAACTTTTGAGTTTTTTCCTGGGAGACTAGATCATATGAGTTGCTAAAAGAGACTGTGTGTTTTGTGTGTGTGTGTGTGTGTGTGTGTGTGTGTGTGTGTGTGTGTGTGTGTGTGTATTCCAGGTAGAACGGGGAACATATATTAATGCCTTGGGCCAAATCTATCCACATTTCTGATCCTTTGGCAGATCTATTAGGAATACAAGATGTGACAAGAAAATAAGAGTAAGCCTTGAGGAGTATGTATTAATAATAAAACCTTTTTAACAGTTTTCAAGGTTGACACAATGCCTCAATTTTCCCATTTGCTTATTTGAATCTTCAAATATCAAAGAGTTTACTTTAGTTGGGTATTATGCGAAATGTGGTTGATCCATCAGTCAGTGGAGATTGAGGTTAAGCCAAGTATTCCCATGAGAATTAAAGGCTGAACTGATTGGCTTCCTTCCAGTGTTTTCAAAGTATGTCAAGGTGAGGAAGATGGATTAGTGCTGAGACATGAGAAGACATGACTTATCACCCAAGCTTCTTGAACTGAAATGTGTTTCTTTTCCAGTATTTTCTCTAAGAGTTATTTAAGTGAGATCAGGGTTTCTTTCTCTACCCCTGTGTTTAAGTGGTTGATAAATGGTGGACCCCATTGACGGTAAATAGATCACTAAGATTATCTAATGGTTTCTACTTCAATGAATTTTGATACCCTTCATTTACAAGATTGGCATTGAAAACCCTCTACAATAGGGTAGATTCTCTGGGCATGCATGTGGCTAATAGGCATCCAAGTCGACATACTTTGTGAGGACTGTTGTTCACTGAATAGAAATTCCTGCACCCTGCTGGATGGTTCCTTTATTTCTTGATGGTTCTGAGACTGGATGCACAATTCTGTGCAAGGAATCAAATTGTCTTTCTTTCTCGCACTCCATCATGCTTTGTGTATGGCTGCCTCAAGAAGGATAGGGCATCCCACATGGCTCCCACAAGCAGTAGAATAGACAATATGGGAATAACAACAACAAAAATGCTATGGCTAAGGTGGGACATCTTTATAGAAGAGATTTCATGGTCATAGGAAGAGACTTTCATTACCCTGAGTTGAGGTGGGAATTGGTTAATTCTAAGAATCCAAATTTTCAGTATAAAAAGATTAGTAGATGACTCATCTCTCTAATCACTTTGCTCTACTACCTAAACAGTGAGACACTATTGCCTTAGGTAGTGCCACACTGTAAAGATCCCTAGCAGCAGCAACACTTCAAAGTACTTAGAGGGAAATGTCTTTTTTTTTTGCAGGAGTGGGGGTGGGGGTGAGGGAATAAACTAAGTTCAATGCAAATAAAAATGATTTGGTTACGCCAAATCTTGATAGTGATTTACAGATACACTAATGTGGCAGTTACTGGTCATTAGTAGCTAACTTTTTAAAGAATTCAATTGCTCACAATCACCCAAGTCACATTTCCAGTATTCAACACGAGTATAGTAGCTAGTGGCTATCATAAAGGACAGAACATATTCACAGGACATTTCCACCATCATAGAAAGTTGAACTGGGCAGCATACTTAGAAAAGAAAAAGTTTCCCCAAATATTCTACCAAGACGCACCATTTGGGGATCAGAGCAGCAGATCCAGGTTTGGGGATCAGAGCATTTTCTATATTTTTCAGATTTGGGGATCAGAGCATTTTCATATTCTACCAAGAAGCACCATTTGGGGATCAGAGCAGCAGATCCAGATTTGGGGATCAGAGCAGCATACAGCAGATAGGGCACTTGCTTTTTTCATGCAGCCAACCCAGTTTTGATCCTCAGCTTCCAATATAGTCCCTTGAGCCCACCAGGGATGATCACTGAGCACAGAGTCAGGAGTAAGCCCCGAGCACAGACAGATGCTGCCACCAAACCAAACCAAACCAAACCAAACCAAACCAACCAACCAACCAACCAACCAACCAACCAAACCCCAAACCAAAGAAACACTATTTGGTTGTCTGATTAACCACCCCAAGGATGCCCAATTTAGTTTTTATTCCAGCCACTATATATTTGAAGAAGGGAAGGCAGTATGACCTAATTTTTTATGTGAATTATAAAGCAAAATTATTCAGAAAAGACAGAGTGTTAAGGGGTCGGTATGAATACACTTACAGGCAATACGGTAGAAACAGAATGTGATGTGCTAAGGTAGGGTTTCCCTTGAATAAGGAATATTTGTGTGATCTAATTTGGAGCAAAAGGAAGTGGTTAAAGACATTTTTGCTATGTGTAGAGGGGGAAGTATAACTGATCTAGAGTTTCTGAAATTTCCTTTAGCTTTTGACTGTATTAGTGAAAGTAGGGTAAGAATCATTAAGAGGATCCTAGCTAGTATTTGCTTCCCTTTCTGATTTAAGATTTTCTTGATGCTTTTCTACAAAATACATTTGATACTTGAACAACACGAGTTTGTGTTCAAACATCATATACATATTCAATCAACTTTGGATTGAATCTCCTGCTTGGAGATTCAATCTCTTGGAGGTTGAGTACAAACTGTACAAGGATTTTAGACGGCACGGGTATTGGCACCTCAACTGCAAAGTGCTGCTGAAGGTCAATTGTAATTCTTTTATTAATGTTATTTTGGTGTCTCTAAAACTTTAAACAGTATCAAGGAAGATGCTGTTATTTTAGGGCAGTCATAGAGCATATGCTTTGCAAGGATGAGCCACTGGGTTCTATCCCTGTTGCACCATCTGCCTCCCCGCCCCGCCCCAATCCTCCAAACACAAACACAGAATCATGGGAAGGGAAGTAAAATGAAGATAATACTTCTCTACTTAGTTCAGGGTGTCCCTTATGGCTTATTGCTTGGGGATATTGTTAAATAATTTTCAGCAGTCTGGAAAAGTTATGTGCTTTCCCTTCCATATTAGTTCTTTGATGTAGACTTATGAACTGAGGAATTGAAAAGAAATGAAGACTGTTGAAGTCTTAATCTTTGGGGATTAGGAGAGAAGAGGATGCCAAGGAAAACTGATCATAGGGTAAGGTTTCCTATTGTGGACATTTGGAAACAGATCAAGAAAGAGAAACAAATAGGAGGAGGTAGAAAAGAAGGATAGAAGGATTAAGAATAGATGAAGTTCTAAAGCCAAAAGTTGACTCCAAATACTGTAATAAGAGCAGTTTTCTTGAACTGATGAGAGACTAAGAGGGTGGCAAAAGGGAATTTCCAGTGTCACTGAAAACATGAACACCGACCTTAGTCTTGGATATTTCATCACCCTCTCACGCAAAGCAAAAACTCCAGCATCCAACAAGTATCTGTTGAACGAACCCTCAGGAAAAGAAAATCAGAGTGCATAAATTCCTTTATTGAAAATATTGGGAGAGCACTGCATTACATACTTAATATCCATAAATGAAGGATATTCACACATTTCTGATTGGACAATACCATTTTAAAGAGAGAACACAACATTTGGGTATGCTCTCACAAGTATAATATTAGGAGCTAAACTAGGTAAGAGTGAGCTATATGCAAATGGTCTTTGTTTTTGTTAATAGCATATGTTTGCAAATGGTACAAATAGTAAACATGACCATAATGAGACATTCCTTATATCTCACACTAACACATTATTTAACAAGCAGATTTTAAGGTGAAATCACCAAATGTTAATAGCTGTTATAGGAGAACTTGGGTGAAACCATACCCAGGCTATTCACAATTTTATAGCATTAAAATTTGCAGGGAATGTGAATGTAATAAAATAATTACTGATCTTACAGGAAGCCACATGGAAATTGGTTTGTTCACTTTTTAAAATAGTCTAAAATAAGAGAATAAGCTAAGGAAAATATTCTGTCAGCTTAATACTATCACTATAAAGAAACATTTTAATGCAAGTATATAAATATTGTTATTAATCTTTCCTAATAAAGATCACTGAAGATGTAAGTTATGACAGACCACTTCTCAGCTTTGGCAATTACCATACATTTTTTCCATTAGCAGTCTTTGGCTTTCAAAAAAGTCTAGTAATGAGTAACACTGGTTAGATTTGAAAAAAGATGTAATTACTATTAATAAGTTTTTTATGTGACAATGAATCAATATTAAAGAACAGGTGTTCTTATTTCAATAGTGAAATGCTTTTATTTGCATTACTTTTTATATCAAACAGAAGAGTACAGAGAACAAAACAAAAGGCTAATTTGACTTTTAAAAATAATATATAAAATACCAAAAGTAGGGCTGAAGCAATAGTACCACGGGTAGGGAGCTTGTCTTGCAAATGGTCAACGTGGGTTCTATCCCTGGCACCACACATGGCTCCCCAAGCCTCACCAGAGTGATCCTTAAGCACAGAGTTGGGAGTAAACCCTGAGCATAGCTAGGTGTGGCTCCCCTCCCTCCCCCCAAAAAAACCCCAATAAAATAAAATAAAATATGCAGGAGTGAAAACACTCAGTTCCTTTTAAAACAGAGGTTATTCTGTTCATATAACAACTGGGGGACGTTATGGATAAAACACCTAGGAAAATTAAAATATTTGTATTAACATATGATTTTAAAATAAATGAAATACTTTTTTTTCAGAAGCAGGGTTTGCTCTCTGAATTTGTTGATAAGGGTATTTATTTCTGTAAATACCAAGTTATAATGGACAGAAATTGCTTATTATTAACAACTAAGTTCAAATTAGCTGAAAATGTACCTTTTAAAAACTAACTTGAAAACTGGCCTACAACAATAAAATCACTGACCATTATAACATAAGTATTTAAAAATTCAAATATATATACTATTTAAGATTTATCACCCTAAACAATCAGGGCAAAGAAAAAGTCAATAAAAAACTATATAAATCAAATGAATTTGTTTCCAAAACATAGCACAATATGTATACATTTCTTTATTTCAAGATTTGACACATTAAAAGAAAAAAAACTACAAACACATTCAGACAATATACTAGAAACAATAAATAGTTTTTTTAAAAAAAAATCATATATTCCCTTTAAGCATTGTGCACCTTCAATTTTTCTAAACAAGACTAATTTTTTTCCATGGCAAACAACAGAACAGTATGCTGTACATTTTGGTAATGAAAATTAAGCTGATAAATACACAAGGCCTGTATATATTTCCACAGTATCTTTTTTTTCACAGTTACCAAAAATAAAAATGGCATTCAACTCATACATCTATAAATACTCTGATTCCTCACTGGATGGATTGAAAAAGTGGAAGCACAAAGTCTTTTAACAATTTGGACTTCAAATGTCTTCCTTCAGTGTCTGCCTCCCCCACATTTACCCTTTGGATTCTCTCTGCAGTTCGGTCATGCTCTGAGATATGAGGGCAGGAAGGAAGCTTTACGGTGGGATGAGGCAGTCTGGGCTGAGGCATCATCTTCCAGCCAGCTTTAGGAGAGCTGATCTATTCCAGCCCTTTTCATGTTATGTTTAAGGCAGTCTGAATTTCACTCAAATGTCCAAACCTCAAGGTCTTGAACTATGAAGTCTTCCTTTTTGGAAAGAATATCATTATTGAAAGTGCTGCAAGAATTGCTTCGTCCATGGTATAAGTCAGCATCTAGCCATAAGCCAAAGCGTCCCCTGAAAAGGTTAAACAAACCAAAAAGGGGAAAATATTTCAGTCTCATACAGCATGCTCTGACCTCCCCAGCCCCATCCTTTTTCCTTTCTGTTACAGACAAAACCCCTGGTAAAATAAAGGGTTCCTTCTCTTTAATTTATTTACATTCCTAAAAGTCAAGTGGTAATAGTTCTTCATTTAGACATATAAATAAATAATCTTATCTTTGATTCTCAGTGTCATGTGTTAGGTCATTGTCCTAATTAATCTAACCACAAAATCACCTGACACCAGGGTTCTGGTTACCCATTCAAAACAGACCCACTCAAGTCAGGTGATAAATGACAACGACAAAAATCTTACCCTCCACCACCAAGTTCTAAAGAGGTTATGTCTCCATTGATAAAGTATGAGTTTTCTCCGCTCCACTTAAAGACCTGTGGGCAGAAACAAGACACAGGACCCTCATTTCAGTCTGCAGAATTAGCCAACGGGAGAATTAGGATAGTAGCTCTGAGTGGAGGGGAAGGAAACAATCCACTATTGAGGAAGCTCCCGACTTCAGACCTTTCCCTCACCAGGCTGAGGTCCTAGAATGTTTGTCAAGTGGGAAGGGTTTCTCAGGCACACAGTGGTGCTGATAATTAGCAATCTCTCTCCGCATCCTAAACTCAACAGCGTTAATCAACAGGGGCCATGTGACCAGTGGGCCTCAAGGATATTCCAAGAGGATCAGGGGTGAAAATCATGCAAACCAGGATCATAGCATGAGACTAGGGGACTAAGGGAGGGGAAGTCACAGGAAAGAAACAAGGTCAGAAGGGGACAAAGTGGAAAAAATAGGTTGTGAAACACTTTCCTAGATCATGCAAAGACAGCTCCCAAGACCCAGGGGAGGGACTCACAGCTGCTGAGGTGCTACCCTTACACACTGCTGACCCATCTGGAGGAAACAGATCAGCTGCAACTCTGGCAACATCTGCACACTCTATCGCCTCTGACAGCAGGATATTGGGAAATGAGATATTTCTCCCATACACTTACCTTGAAATTGGGGCTAAACGTGTAGAGAAAAGTTTCTCCTGTTCCATAGTAGTGGTCACTGAACTTGAAAGGATGAGTTGCATATGCCCCAAAAATCTGTCAAAAGAAACCAGAAATATTATCTATTTTCAAATCTAAACCTCTTCCCCTAAAGGTGTTCTGAACTACTTTACTACAGTCCTGTTCTGGGAGCACATTATACCTCTCTTTGGCAAAGTAAATTAGAACTCAAATTAAAAAACAAAACACCAACAAACATAAATTATAATAAATAAAATAAATACATAAAGTAAAAATAATAAATATAATAATAAATAGTAAACAAAACACCAACAAACATAAATAAACAGCAGGTCTAATTGAATTCCAAGTGGGTCAGATTACTTTTTTATCAAAGACCGAGATAGTTGCAGTTCTCTTTTAATTTTTTATAAGAGCTATACTTCATTATGCTCGGTGGCAGTTGGTCCAGGGGATTAAACTAGTACCTTATGTATACCAGAATTAGCTCTACCACTTGAGTTATATATCCTTGGGCTGTTTCAATTTTAAATGACTTTCAGAGTCCATTGTGGAGACATTTTCTTAGTGATAGGAACAGCATATTTGGAATATTAATCAACACATATATCATAAATAACAAGATGTAACTTGCAGACAAAAACAAGTTCCTTGAAGAACAAAGTTAGGTCTCTTATGTCTTTTATAAGCGAAATCATGACTAGACACCCAGAGAAAAATGTTTTTCTCCCTTTAAATAAATTCTCCATATGCTTATATAAAATTCTATCTTTAACATGACTGATGTATCTGACTTTAATATGACTAATACGTCTTACTGCAAAATGGCTTTCAAGAAAAAAAGAAATATTATGGCTTTTAAAATATCCTAGGTATTTTAAAATGGAATACAGTGAGTTTCATATGCAATTGAGATGTATTTAAATCAATTCTTCCATTTTTCTCGAAGAAGAACCAACTTACTAAGGAATAACATTTTCAGAATATGCCTTTCTACTGCCTCAGCTTCCCAATACTTCTGCTTAGAGTTGTATCTGTACCTGCAGAAGTGAGTATTGGCCAAGAGTGAGTATAAATATTTTGAAAACATCCGTAGGTATTGTGATATAACTTCTATTCTGTTTTATTGAACACTGGTCTTAATGGAGATTATGTTTAAATTATCAAATAGTGTTTCTAAATTATTTTAGCTGCATTGTAGTAACTGTGCACTTTGACATACTGAATATTAGGAAGAGGAGAAATCTGGAAACTCTAACCAAGATTTTTCATATTTCTTGCACCTTAGCCTAGAGCTGTTAAGAACAAATGAAAACAAGACGGCACTAAAAACATTTTTGTCAAATGACATTTTCCTTTCTAAGTTCAGTAAAGAAATAATACAACACTGAGATAAGCATTTGTTTTTAAAATGTGTTAACTTTTGAGGAGGTCAATGGCTATAGGTGGAAGAAAACAGATCCCCTCTAATCAATGAATAAGAAAATTAATCTTTATTCTTTTACCCTCTGCAGGACTTTAAATAATCACAGCAACAATAGTCATTTGGAGAGAAGCCTGCGTAGCAGGGTCTTTTGGGTGGTGGGATGTCACTAGAACTTCGGTGGTGGGTGTGGAGAATCCTATACATACTGTACAAATGTTGAGCTCCAACCATAAAACTGTACACTAATGATAAATCAGTGAGGGAAATAATGAGGAGCTGGAGAGATAGTACAGTGGTTAAGGCATTTGCCTGGCATGTGTAGACTTGGGTTCAATCCCAGGCACCTCATACGGTTCCCTGATCCTGAGTACAGAGTCAGGGGTAAGCCTGAGAATCACCATATGTGCCCTGAATACTGCCAGGTACAGACTCAAGACAAAAATTAAAAAGTTAAAAAAAAGGTTGGGGGGGATGATACTAATCCCCCCACCCCGTATCCCAACCAAAAAAGGGCACTAAGTACTAAGTTATATATTTTGATGCATTAATTCTCTATCAGAAAATTAAGGATCTTTTGATGTGATAGAGAACAAAAGTAAAATGAAAAAAATGTAAAGATGAGGTATCTGATAACACCAAAAAATACAGCTTATTTAAAATCTCTAGTACTGTGTTTAGGTATAAAAATTTCCATTTTCTTTTTTTCTATTTATTTAGAAATTGTATAAAATAACATACATATAATGGTATTCTTGGGTCTCTGCCAAAAAAAAAGAATATATTCAGCATACCAGAGCAAATGAACCCATGAGAAAAAAAGAGACAACCAAAAGAGATAAAAGTAAAAGGTCAATATAACAAAACCTATTAATGTACATTTCCTTTTCTTATTTCTCTTTGCTTCTTTAGTAAAGAAAAAAATATATAAAGTAGAAATCATAATTTTTGGTAGGTTTACAATATAAATTATATACAGCATACCATAAAATAGAATTATGTAATAGGATAATACAGAGGTAACTTTTATATATCACTGGAATTGTTAGTGAAAGTCAGACTGATTAATTGCATAAAGATTATACTTTTCTATACTGGCTTATGGTATATATTACTCTATGATTTGATTTGGGGCTGGAGCGATAGCACAGCGGTAGGGCGTTTGCCTTGCATGCAGCTGGCCCGGCCGAGCCAGGTTCGATTCCTCCACCCCTCCCTCTCGGTGAGTCTGGCGAGCTACCGAGAGTATCTCACCCACATGGCAAAGCCTGGCAAGCTCCCTGTGACGTATTCTATATGTCAAAGACAGTAACAAGAAGTCTCACGATGGAGCCATTACTGGGCCCACTCGAACAAATCAATGAACAACGGGAGGACAGTGCTACAGTGCAGATTTGATTTGATTAAATTTAGTCCTCTTTTCCAGGGTGGTTTCTTCGGTTATTCTATAAAGTTTATTTTTTCTTGACTTCAAAACAGCCTCCTCCTGGGGCCAGAGAGATAGTACAGTGGATAAGGCACTTCGCTTGTGCACAGCCAACACAGGTTCAATCCTCAGTCCCTCCAGGATTGATCCCTGAGCACAGAGCCAGGAGTAGCCCTGAGTATAGCCAGGTGTGGTTCACTTCCTCTTCACATCCTCAAAAGCTCTCCTTAGCCATCTCCCTTGTTTTTTTCTGTTTTTGGTTTTTGGGGTCATGTCCAGGGGTTATTCCTGGTTTTGAGTTCAGGAATTACTCCTAGTGCTTGGGGGACCATATGAGATGCTAGGGATTGAACCCAGGTTAGCCAAGTGCAAGGCAAATGCTCTACCCGCTGTATAATTGCTCCAGCCCACCATATCCTTTGTTCTCTCTGATAAACTGGAAGGTTTATGTTTAGCTTAGTTCCATTCGTGGAGTTTTCACCCTCCTCTTTATTCTTCACCACAGTTTTCATTGATCCTAGAGGGCCCCTTGGCTCGAATTTCCAGTATTTTCCTAGAATCATATGGTCAGAGTTCTTACTGATGATCGGCTTCTTCCCTTGTAGCTAGGAGTTGGGCCTTTTGTGCTGAAGGTGGTACTTTAGCTAATGAATAATCGTTTTATAAGCAAGGTGTTGGGAAGGGGTACTAGGCACAGGGGTCTTGGATCACTTAGGAACTTCTGGCCCATAAGCTGAGTCAAGGGAATCAGAGGCTGGTATTCTCAGCCTGCCATGTCCGGGTTCAGCATCTGCCCTCCAAGCAAGGGCTGGGTGGAGAAATAGCCTCCTGCTTCCTGCCACACGCAGGCATGCACATACACACACTCTAGGACACCATTACCTGGACACACGAACCTCAGAAACACAGATCCTGGCAGAGGATAAAGTGCCCCTTAAGAGTATTATCATAGCATTTCCCGGAAAGCTGGGGTAGAAGGAGCCCCATCTTCTAGTCCACACCTGCCCAGGAACTTCATCCAGCCAAACTGGGCATGGGGGAGGAGGTTGAGCATCACTAATAAACACTAAGATTTATGAGCTTTTCTTTGAATAAATATTTCTTCACTCATTGCATGCCCTTAGGACAATTTCCAGGGATATAAGTGATTGTTTCCACAATAATACCTACTGGCTATGCTGCTTTCACTGGGATTGATATTGAAGAGTTCCTCCCTTCTGACATGCTGCATCGATAATAATTCTTATTAGAATTTTATAGAATTTACTTTCAGATAAATCTGCAGGCATTGTTCTGTCATGCTCTGAATAGAGCAAAGCCACCTTCTTTCCTTGGGGAGTGACGGGGCAGGGAATGGAGAGTTACTGTACAGGTTCCTTTCAGGTGCCTCCAGGCTACTAGATTCAGGAAGATTCCACCCCAGACAACGGTGAGGGCCTCCTTTATAAATCTGCTAAGAGGAAGCTGGGAAAAACCATGCTTCATGAATAGGTTCAACATCTTCAACAAGTTTGGTATCTTCTAAGTAGTAGAAGATACCAAATGCTTAAAATCAATGCTTAAAATCTCACATTCAGCAAGCATTTGTTATACATTTGCTAATGGGTGAATAAATGAATACTTAATGAATATCACCATCAACAACTTAAAGATATAAAAGAAATTCTTCCTGATACTGCCTAATTTATACTTATGGTGAAGGTTTGTGTGTGAAGTCTATAGCATCGAGCCATACCCTCTAAAATAGACCATGTTATTTCTCAAACATTGCACTATTTTCCAAAGCTTTTAAAATTTAAAACATATTTTAATTATTTTGGGCAGGAGCGATAGCACCGCAGTAGGGCATTTGCCTTGCGCGCAGCCAGCCCAGACAAGCCGGGTTCGATTCCTCTGCCCCACTCGGAGAGGCAAAGCCTGGCCAGCTACCTGTGAAGTATTCAATATGCCAAATACAGTAACAACAAGTCTCACGATGGAGACGTTACTGGGCCTGCTCGAGCAAATCGATGAACAACGGGAGGACCGTGACCGTGATTTTAATTATTTTAATTTCTGATCTATCACTACTCATTATTTGGGGCTCATTATTAGATAAAATACCATCAATCATGACATAATTATAGTTAACAAAGAAGAACCCTTCCCTTCCAATCTTATAATTTTACTGCATAAAGTACTAGAAAATATCATGGTTGAAAAGGCAGTGCCTTCAACATCCTCTTTTTCTCCGTTAAATTTTCCCTGAGGCAAATTATGACAGAAAAGACCTAGTTCCCTTAAAAATGATCCTAATTATCTCAATGCTTAAAATCTCACATTCAGTAAGCATTTGTTATACATTTGCTAATGGGTGAATAAATGAATACTTAATGAATATCACCATCAACAACTTAAAGATGTAAAAGAAATTCTTCCTGATACTGCCTATGAAATTAATTAAAACTGAAACGAATTAAGAAACAGACTTGATCAATGCATGCGTGTGTGTGTGTGTGTGTGTGTGTGTGTGTGTGTGTGTGTGTGTGCAGGAAGCAAAAGCCTGACTGGCTAAATGAAAGTGTGAGGGAAAAGACAGGACAGATTCCATTCGCATATAGAGTTGTGGAAAGGAGTACCTGAGGGTGATTCCTGGATTTCATCAGTTCCTCCAAGACTATACTGTAATACAGACAACTCAATGAGCAATGAAATCAAGCACTACCTCTTGTCCCACACTAGTGGGGCTCTTCAGCTACAGCACACCACTGCTGTGACTGACTGGTCCCTATCAGCAACCATGCAGGTGTTTATGGAAACAAAATGGTTAACTGGCAAAAAATTAAATAAATAAACTCTAATAAGGCACAGGAACTTCTTTTTGCAGCTCTCTTCAAATGCAGATTTGACTTTACCCAAATGTCTCTAGCTTGGATTATGGTGACTGTATTTGGAGAAATACTTCATTTACTTTTATTTTTCAGAGATTTTTCTGAAGTAAAGACTCTTTCTGCAGGGCAATTTAGCATAACAATTGGTATACACCCCAAAATACTTTAGCTCAGAAAAAGCGCACAGAGAAAAGACAGATGACATATGTTGCCTGCTCAGACATAGAGTCTGGGGGAAAGTAATTCACTGCATCAGTCATTACTGTTGTGTGGGTTTCAAAATCTCATTTAAGCATGTTTTCTCTGACCAAACAATCTTTACCTGATTGTCCATGTCTTTGATGACCAATAGGACGGGACTGTCTAGGGAAGCCGATTTTCGATAGAGGGTTTTCAGGCTGGTCCCGTGTTCTAATGTGCTGTATGCGAGTCGCCATGGATACCCTTGAACCCTTGCTGGAAGGCGCCGGGCCAGCTGCAAGTACAAAAAGGAGCATGTGAATATACAGTATCGGGCTGGAGCAATAGCACAGGGCTGGAGTGATAGCACAGCTGGTAGGGCATTTGCCTTGCATGTGGCTGACCCGGGTTTGATTCCTCTGTCCCTCTCAGAGAGCCAGGCAAGCTACCAAGACCCCATGGGTCCCAAAGGTAGCTAACAAAGGAAACCAGGAAGTGCTGTATTCGTCAGAGGCCAAGCTCGGGCAACAGCCTCATCCTCATAACTGCTTTTTCTAGTCTGTTGACTTTTCTGGGCTTTTATTTGTTTACTTTTTGGGTCACACCCAGCAATGCTCTCTGGGTTACTCCTGGCTCTATACTCAGGAATCACTCCTGGTGGTGCTCAGGGGACCATGTAGGAGACCGGGGACCTAACCCAGGCTGGCTGTGTGCAAGGCAAACACCCTCTCCATTGTGCTATCATTCTGACCCCCTATCCCGGGGGGGGGTTATTTTAACCATTTATTAATTGAGAAATGAACTTGAGAAATTCAGTTTTCTGAAATTCAAGAAAAAACAAAAGTCCATTTTTATTTTTTTTTGCTTTTTGGGTCACAGACAGCATTGCACAGGGGTTACTCCTGGCTCATGCACTCAGGAATTACTCCTGGTGGTGCTCAGGGGATCATATGGGATGCTGGGAATCAAATCGGGGTTGGCTGCATGCAAGGCTAACACCCTACCTCCTGTACTATCGCTCTAGCCCCATAGAAGCCCAGTTTTTCAATGACGAAAGTTCACATATCACATACAAGCACATTGCAGTAATTCAATACAGCTGAAGTTAGACTTTCAGAAAACATCAAATCCACAAAAAAGCTACAAAAAGGAAAAAGGAAATTCTTCCTAGTGAGGCACAGTTTTTATAAAGTAGACCTAACATTTTTCATAAAAATATAGATATAACTTTTTTCATATACTACTTTATTTTCATAAAGAAAGTAAAGTACTGTAACTTTTTTTGTTTTAGAGCTTTGTTAATCAAAATACTTGGAACTCGGGGCTGGGGCGATAGTACAGCGGGTAGGGTGTTTGCCTTGCACGTGGCAGACCCGGCTTCGATCCCCAGCATCCCTATGGTTCCCGGGGCACTGCCAGGGGTGATTCCTGAGTGCAGAGCAGGAGTAATCCCTGTGCATCACCAGGTGTGACCCCAAAGGCAAAATAATAATAATAATAGTAATAATAATTGGAACTCTACAAAGATCCCTTGGCTGCAGTTGGGAGGGGATGGGGGAGAATAGATCCTTTAAAACTGTGTCAAGACTGTGGTAAGGCACTTTAAAACATTTTTGGAAGAGTAGTCAGGGAGCTCGTATAAGAGTTAGGGCCCATGCCTTGCACCATGTCAGACCCAGGTTTGATGTCTCATTCCATGTGGCTCCTGAGCACTGCCAGGAGGGCTAAAACAGTGCCAGCTGCCCAGGGCTCAAACAGCACTAAGCACCGTGTCCAGGGGCTCTAGCACTAAAACCACCAGCCCTGATGGCCAAGTGTCACCAGAAGTGTCCCCAGGCTCCTCCCTCCCTCTCGTTTCTTTTTCTTTGGAAGCTCAGAACTGGCTTTCCATTCAGATTTGGAAGATGGTGTTCCCACAGTGTTCCCACAAAGCGGTGACTGCAAGAACCTTTGGAAAGGCCTTGGGTAAGCTGCTGGTGTGTTTTCCAACCCAACTCGGCTTTAACCTGGAGAGAGAAGAGCAAATGTGGCCAGGGATGCTGAGTGCTTTGTCGGTCCTGGGCCCCCGCCCCCGGGTGGCCAGCACACCCACCTGCTCGATGTGCATGTTCTCCAGGAGCGCGCTGTGGGGCTGCAGCACCGGCAGCCCCGCGTCATCCTCGTCTTCATAGTAGCTGCACGTGCTCTTCCTGCGCTTTGCCTCCTCGACAGTAATGATCTGCCAGCGAGACAAACCCAAAACGGATGCATTTGCTTTTGTTTGGCCTGTTAAAAAGGACCGCGCGGCGACATGCTCACCTTAATAGGTGAATCTGCATTTCGCCATATAATCTTAACTCGCAGGTAAACTGAACTGGGACCCGGGCAGAAATGGCTACATTTCCAGCTTCCCAACAGCAAGCAGTTCTTTCACTCTCTTGCCAGTTGCTCAGTTACTGAGAAGTAGGTACAGCTCGCCAGCAATCTGTACTCTTAAAACAGCCCCAGATTAATCTCCAGCAGCCTCGGTCTAAACTGGAATTACTAAGGAACTAAAATCATACTGCTAGTCTCCTATACACAGGGAAGTTGAAGGGAGTAGTTTTTCAGTCAAGTCAGTCGACAGTTTCTCTCAGGGTTGTGCACACAGCAACCATCTGTGATAGCAATAACCTATGGTACAAGCTGTCAGTAGCAAGACTATGAAGAAACACAAAGCTTTAATGTCCAAAGTGGTTAGGATTTTTGTACCCAGCTCAGAGACCATCAATATAGGCTTTCTCAAAGTAGAGAAACATAATGTTCGCATAACATACTTATTAATTCCTTGTAACCATGCTTATAAATTATCAAAGCCAGTAGCACCTAAAAATCTATTTTTTGCCCCCTCTTAATATACCAGAATCCCTAGAAATCAGGATTCATGGTTTTACATTATAAGCATTTAAGTTATATATTAGTAAAAATTGCAGATAACACACAGGTTTCAAAATTCATAGTAACTGTCACAAAGTAACTCTCTTCAGCTGAGGCAGGTATACGTGACAAGGGAATTAATTTGAAAATTTTAGAATCTTTTCAAGTTTACTTGAAGAGAAAGAAGCCCAAGAATCGCACACCCCACATTTTTCAGATATTGGATAAAGTACATGATTTTAGCAAACTCCATATTTCACACAGGTAGATGGAGAGAAAAGGACCACAAGGGAATTCCTGACTTCCAAAGGAAGGCGCAAACCACACTGTATCCATCTGTGACGAATAAAATACCTGCTCTGGTTGAAAACGTCAGCACAATTCTTTCTAATGAAGAAAGCATTTTGAAACTACAGAGTGGCAGATCTCGGAGGATTCACTGGCGTGTAATTAGCCTCAAGGATGCCAACATACCTTCACAAAAGGCTCTTGGTTTGGTCTGGCACAATAGAGAATCTGAATGTCCAGGGGCAATCTTCGGAATCTCATGGTGAGCGAGGGCAAAGGCTTGCTCCCCGAGGAGGCGCTTCTCTCTCTAAATACCTCCACACCACAGTTACTTGTGGCCACGCTGAGCTACAACCGTTTCTGCAGTGTCTAGTTTCCTGCATGATTGAGTTTCTCTTTCCCTCAGGAGAGGGTTCAACATTTCTACAGGAACATACCCAAATTAGGATTGAGAGAAAACACACACTTCCTGTCAGGCAGAGCTGTAAGGCTGTAAAATGACACTTTCACCTTTGAGAGGGTGATTTCCCAACAGGATAACAAAACCCCTTTGTTCTGTGGGGTTTTTTTTCTTCTTTTTCTTCTTCTATTTTTCTTAATTGTCTTTTGGTAAACCTGGCTTTTCTAGCCCTGTCATTTTGGAGTTGTTTTTTAAAGAACATTTCCTAATGCTCAGCCTCCAATTTCAACATTTTTATCTGTGTTTCCTGTCATTGGTTTAATCTTATAGGAAGGATGAAACAAACTCTTCATGGGATGGATGACCATTACGTGTACAGTGATAATATTTTACTTCAAAACCATGTCATGTTTATTGGATATAAGGAACTTTTAAAAAAAGAATGGGAGAAAGCCTGACTTATAAGATGCTGAGAACAATGTTATTTAGATTTTAATTTTTAAAACATCTAGCAAAGTGGTATTTTTACCATATAGAATATTAACATGACTAAGAAGCATAATGCGTTCTTCTCTACTATCTAGGTTAGATGTTAGTGAGGCTAGAAAGAATTGTAGGGGCTGGAGAGATAGTAAGGAACTTGTCTTGTAGGCAGCAGACCCCATTTCTATCCTTAGCACCTGCAAATGGGGCCACTGCATATGGTCCTTGTTGGATCACTAGGAGGCACTCCTGAGGAGAGGGAGAGAGGGAAAAAGAGAGGTGGGGGAAAGAGAGAGAGAGTGAGAGAGAGAGAGAGAGAGAGAGAGAGAGAGAGAGAGAGAGATGACCTTTGATAAATCTTAAGGGATCTTTGTAGATCCAAAATGGCTAAAATGGCTTATAAGGAAACTTGGGAAAATGGCCTGGGGAACTGCTTAGGAGTTCAGGGTATTAATCTAGCTCACCCTGGACATCAGTTATATAGAAGACTGACCGATCCTTAGAGACCAGTCCCAGCAGACAGAACTCCCTCTCAAAAGGAGAGCCTAAACAGAATCATCTGAATGTGTGCCAGAAAGACAAATGTTCTTCAGAAGCTGGAATTCTGGGGCAGCTATTTACTAAGGGTTATTGTGTGTGATGCTGTGTGATGGGGGCTTAGCCAGGCAAATGGGCACAAAACTTCTTCAGCCACCGTCCTCAGTGGGCGAGAAGATGAAAAGACAGCTATCCATAAATACATTTCATTCTGTGTGAAACAAATGCTAAGAGTAGCATTTCAAAGGGGTTGGCACAACCTAGAATTCTGAAAACGCTTATTCTCAAAGGAGACAGGCCTTTAGTCTGAGAGCAGAGGGTGGGCTCTGTGGGAGATGTGGGGATGTGGAGATGTGAGGAGTGGGAGATGTGGGGATTTGGGGATGTACAGCACAGCAGGAACCCGGAACTGTGTTCTGGCTCTACTGTGAGAACAGAGAACAAAGCAAGTTGAGGCAAAGGAGGCTGGGAAAAAAGCAGGAGAAGAAGAATCATGATACCAAGTGGGGATGGGGCCCTGACAGGGAGGGGCATTAGGGTCCTTGGGGGTAGGAAGGTGTGTGTTCACTGGTGAGGAATGTGGTGTTGCAATTATGTGCACGGGAAACCAGTATTAAGAGTTCAGTAAATCAGAAAAGATGAAGTCATGAAATTTACATACAAGTGGTACTACATAGAAAGTATCATGTTAGGCGAAATGAGTCAGAAAGAGAGGGATAGACATAGAAAGATTGCATTCATCTGGGGAACATAAAGTAACAAAATAGGAGACTAACACCCAAGAGTGGCTGAGATTAGTACCAGGAATTTTGCTCCATGGCTTGGAGGCCAGCAGCACATGCTAGGGGAAAAGGCAGCTCAGATAGAGAAGGGAGCACCAAATAAAGGGTGTTGGGAGGATCCTCCCAGGATGGGAGAAGCATGCTGAAAGTAGATTATAAACCAAACATGATTGCCACTCAATGCCTCTTTTGCAAACCACAACACCCAAAAGGAGAGAGAGAACAAAAGGGAATGCCCTGCCACAGAGGCAGGGTGGGATGAGGGGGATGCGGGGTGGGAGGGATACTGGGACCCGTGGTGGTGGAAAATGGGCACTGGTGAAGGGATGGGTACTTGATCATTGTATAACTAAGACCCAAGCACAAAAGTTTGTAAGCCTACAACTGTACCTCATGGTGTTTCACTAATAAAAAAAAAGAGTTCAGTAAATCACAGAACCCAAATCATTTTTTAAAAGTTATATACATATATAATTCTATATGTGTATATATATAAAATTATAAAGCCAAACGTGCTCTTCAAAATAATCTAGGAACTTTAAAAAAATTACAAATTCCAACATTCTTCATTCGGATCCACTGAATTAACTTCTGCAGTGGTAACAGACTACAGTTCAGTGAAGGAAAAAAAAAAGAAGACCAGGTGACGATGGCCTACATAGTGGCAGTTATAGGCAGTGGGACACCAATGAGTGCTTTAATTCTGAGATTTATATTCAAATAATTAACCAGGAACTATATAAAACTTTCAAGCATGATAGAGGAACCATCAGAAATTACTAATAGTGCTAGAAGAAAATGATTTTTAAAATATTACCTATACCAATACATCAACTACCCAACTACATCAAACTGTTGGGTCATCTACAGAGAAAAGCATTACAAGAACAAATCATAAACTAAAATTATAAATAAACAAAATACAAACAGAAAACTAGGAGAAATTTCAAAAATACAAGATAAAAAAATTGATAGCTTTAATCACAAAGAGTTCAAATAGTGTAATGAAACAAAAAAAGATTCCTTTGAGGCAAAGTGCAAAGGAAACAAGTATTATAAAAAAGAGTGTATATAAATATGTGTGTGTGTGTATATATATATAATGTACGTGTACATATATTTGTGTGCATATGGATTTTATTCTCAGTAGCAATCAAGGGAAAATTTAAATTATTTGACTGACTGGCTTTCAAATTAGTAAACATTTTTAGAAGGGAATATCAGTTATGATTTTTTCTGCTGGCATACTGAGAAGGGTACTTTCATACTTCAAAATTAAGTTGGAGTTATTTTCTAAATTAGTACACTATAACAAACAATTTACTTCCAGGAAACAAAGAATTAGATCATCTCACCCTTGTGAAAGGCTTGGAAAAATACAGCTATTTCGACGAGTGGAGAATTGTAAAATAAAGCATAATTGAGATTAAAAATGCTATGCAAAGATTAAAAATGAAACTTTAAAATCCTTAATACAATTACCAGAAGACGTTAGGAGAGAAAAGCCAGATATAAAATTATATAGAACATAATTTTATTTTGCAAAAATGAAAAACAAGATTCTCCCCCATCATTCCTTTCATTGAGAAAATATCCCAAAGCATAATAGAAAAGTCATCATAAAAAACAAAAAGTTAGGATTACTCTGGTATTATATTAAAATTGTCTGCACAGTGGGGCTGGAGTGATAGCACAGTGGGTAGGGCGTTTGTCTTGCATGTGGCCGACCTGGGTTCGATTCCCAGGATCCCATATGGTCCCCTGATCACTGCCAGGAGTAACCCCTGAGTGCAGAGCCAGGAGTAACTGCTGTGCATCACCGGGTATGACCCC